GGACGTTAAAAGGACTGGAGGAAATCACAAATTAATTTCAACAATGAACACAAGGCACACTAGCATCAGAACAATTTTTACGGTTGCGCTTAACAAGCGTTATCAAACTAGAAAATAAATTTTTTCGAGTTGTCGCATCTTGGATTTATTTTGTTTTTTTTTGCGCGCATTTTTTTACTGTTGTTTTTAGTGTTTGATTTACGCCTTCGTTATTTTATTTAACTTGACTTCGTATTTCCTTCTATTTTTTTGTTTTGTTAAAAAAAAATTACTCGGCCTAAGTTGTTTCGGCTGATTTTTTATCGGTTTTTGAACCAATTTTGGACCGTTTCTATATCAACACTTTTTAGCAGTCTCCTCTGCATGTTTTACCAATCGTTTTGTTGAAATTTTTTTTTTTTCATTTTGCATTGAAAATTTTAGTTGTTCTCAGAAAATTGTGATTTCAAAAAAATGATATCAATTGAAAGACCGTCTTTTTCACTTGACCCTTTTGTCTATAGCCTTCGAAAAATCTGGGGGAATATTTGAACCATATTTTTTGATTTCTTTAATTTTCTCGAAAACTACCCCTCTCAAATATGAGTTTTTGGGTTTCCATAAATTGAGCTGTTTTGCAAAGCTGTCCTGCCTAAGTGGCTATTGCCAAGTTTTATTTGCACAAAGTTATGGCCCTCAGAATAGTCAAATTTTTGATTTATGACCGTTTTGTGATTCTTTTCGCTTTTTCTCGAAAACTAAATTTATCGTTTTTTTTTTGCTCTGCGCATTTTTCTTTAATGATGCGTTCAGTGTTGATTCAGTCCTACAAATTGTAGTTTTACTAGCCTGACTTTGTATTTCGCTGTTTTTCTGTTCGGCTTAAAAATTTTTTCGGCCCAAATTATTTCGGCCTATTATTTATCGGCTTAATGACCGAATTTTGGGTCGTTTAAAAAAAAAACACAATCCTTAAGTTAGTTTTTTTGCTTACTTGTCGGTTTGTTGCATTTTTAAAAGTTGAAAGTTTTCCAAACTCTTTGGAAAAATTTTAAGTTTTTCACAGAAACTGCTACTGATTTTCAAAGAAAGTGTCATTTGAAAATTCGCCTACTCCCTCGTGTGTTTTCCCCTAGTCTCTTTTTACTTAACCCCTTTGTCTACAGCCCTCGAAAGTCTGTGGCGAATACTCGAAAACTATACCTCTCAAATCTAAATTATTCGTTTTAATTTATAGAACGGTTTTGAAAAGCCCAAAATTTTTTACTCAAAAAGTTATGGCCCTCGGAATAGTCAAATTTTTGGTGTGTGACCGTTTTGTGAATCTTTTTGACTTTTCTCGAAAATTAATCTCTTAAATTGATGTTGAGGGTTCAATGGCGATAACAGGTAGTGGGAAACTCCCCTGCATTAGCGGCCATTCACAAAGTTTTTTTTACAAATTTATCGCCCTCGGAGAAGTCTAGTTTTGATTTTTTGATCGTTTTTTAAAATTTTTGAATATTCACGAGAACGGGCCTCCCAAATGTGAGATTTTGAGGTAAATCGAAGTTATATATTGCGTGAAACCCATTTGCATAAGAGGCTACGCCTTATTTTTTGACACAAAATTAGGATTCTCAGAAACGTCAAGTTATTGATTTGTTGACCGTTTCTTGGACTTTTCTCGCTAACTATCCTGATTCTGCCAAATTTGATACCATAGGTTTAATCGAAACGACTGGTTGTTAAAAGCTTAATTTGTAGTTGGCTTCGCCAAGTTTGTTCATGAAAGAAAGTTATTGCCTTTAAGCAAGTCGAAGTTTTGAAACTTTACAGTTTTTTGGAAAGCTTTTGACTTTACGCAAAAACTAACGAGCCAATTCTCAGATTGTGTTCAATCGAGAAACCCGGTTGAACACAACCTGTGTTCAATCGAGAAACATCTCTGCTTAAGCGGCCACAGTCTGCTTTTTGCAGAAAAAGATTATGGATTTTGGAAATCCTTTTCACCGTTTCAATGAATTTTTGACCGTTTTTTTTTTAGAAAATATCGGAATTTTCTTAAAATTTACACGATCAAATCTGATATGAATAGTTTGAAAAAACCAGTTGACAGAAATGGTTTTGATGATGGCTCCTGCAGAAGCGGCGAGTCCTTATCTTTTTAGAGAGAAATGTTATCTCCTCGGGAAAATTGATTCTCTCATAACTTTTCACTCTTTTCACATATTTTAGCAGAGAAACAGCTAAGTTTTTGAGCAAAATCCAATGTTTGAAATCTCATTTTTTGTCGCATCAGTATAGCAAAATCCTTCAATATCAAAAACGCACCTCCAACTTTAGATGGTCCCCTTGTTGTTTTTCATCGAGACGTACAAACGTTTTGCTTCACATAGTTTTTTTTCAACATTTAATTTTTTTCGAGTTTTCTTATGTTTGAGTTGCATCGCAAGTGGGGCGAAGTTCTGCTTCGCCTCTGTGTAACATTAAATTAAACTAGTTCGAACAGTTTTGATGGCTCGTTCTTTTATCACTCGGACTTCTACTGTTTCACAAATTAACAATTAATAGAACGCTAATTTTTCAATTCTAATTCTGGTAATAGCCGCATGCTGAGCGGCACGCATGCAAGTAGGCTGGTCCCCGTTTGAAACGTATGATCCAGTAAGGCGGGATCGAGCATATTTGAGAGCAGTAATGGAGCGGGATAGCGTAGTATGGGGCACTCTCTTCATAACCATTAGCTCCGGAGCTCGAATCTAGCAGTCGCCATAAGATTGTTTAAATGACCTAATTCTTTTCAATAGGAAGTTTCATATTTTTGGGCATTTATAGAGCTATTTTTTGCCTTTTTTTCGCATTACGAGGCCAAACTGTGCATTTTGTGAATTGTAAGCGGATTCCGCAACAAGGACGCGCCATTTGTTCTTCTTTTGTTCATTCATTTCCTTTGATCGTTCCAACCAAATTTAACATGTTTAAAGACTTGTCACTGGAATCCAGGAACATACAGACACAAAATTGTGCGCCTATCCAGTGCACAGTTTGGCCTCGTAATGCGCCTCTTGGTAAGAACTTTATCGCAGTCTTGACTTATTTGCGCTTATGAGGTATGTTCTGCCAGTGAAGCGCTTAAGCTATATTTTGTATCAAGTCGTCTGCTGAAACTTTGCTCCAGCTGGTAAGAGTCAGTTATGCTCAAGCTTATAATTTTAGCCATGCCAGCTTTGATGGAAAGATTTTTTGGCTAAACGATACGGATAGTTGTAAATCATTTTAGTATTTTCAGGTTGATGGGTTTTGTTTTTGAGAGCCGACTTCTGTTGTAGTTAGAACTGCTGCCAATGATTCGTGCCTACCTGGGCTTACGAAGCTCGTCTGAATTTTCGATCCAAAATGGGCACCTTCTCCGCAATTTTCCTCTGACTAGCAGGAGAACCATTCAAAGACGCTTAAAACACGATGATGATGACCCTAAACTGAACATCAAATCCAGAGGAAACAAGAGTCAAAAGGTCAGCGCTGGCATCCGCTCGGTGAAAGAAAACAAATCTGAAGATTTAAAGCTAAGTTTTTATGACAAGAATCGGGTATTGGATGTGTACATGAAAAAATTAGTTTTAGTGACAACGAACCGAGTTACTTCTCGCAAAAATGAAGAGCTCAACGAAAGCCAGAAGGTCGAGAAATCGAGACGATCCAAAAAACTGAATAAAACAAAGGATGGTGATCTTGCGTCAAGCAATAAGAAGAGAAAAGATGCTACAGTGTTTGTCCAACAGGAAGATATGGAAAAGGCTAAGATCTCCATCAATGAAGCTCAGAAAAGGTTGAAAAGATTGCCGCCGTTTGACGAGAAAATTCTGAATGAAGCACGAGACATTCTAAACGAGACGGCTTTTTCAAGCCACCAAAGGAAAACTTACAGTTATTGCTCGGGGCTGGTTAAAAAAACTGAAAATATTTTCAAGAAAGCTCAAATTGGTTTGCAAACGTGTGCCATGACAAACATGTTACCTCTAGCATTGCCGAGTATTCAGAAAGCTTTAAGTACCCTGGGAAATACTAAGAAGAAGATTAAAAGCATCGATCCGACGTTTGACTTGTCATATTTCGATTCTCCGAACTTCCATCACGTCATCACTCAGTTCATCCGGGCCGTGACGCGAGGTGACCCTAGACGCGCGTATGCTGACTGGGCTGTTAAAATGATGTACACCTCGGAATTCAAACCCACGACTGATTTGCTAATGGCTGTTTTGATTTTGCTCGACAAAATTGGGGAACCGCCAAACCATGTGATAGTGAAAGTGACGCTTGAAAAGTTTGTCAAAGTAGTTTCGGAGGCTGACGCCATAACGCTGCACGAAATCAGTGCGTTTAGCAAAAATGACTTGAAATTATTTTTCGGTCAAATTGTGCCTCGGCTGCAAGAGATTTACGAGAAAAGTGGCGAGATTGTTTTTGACGAGAAGTTCACGAGCAAGTTGCCTACTGATGATAAATTGGGCTCTTTGTTCAGTGCTGACCAAGTTTTGTACAGCATGCTGCCAAGTGACGATAGGTGCATCCCGTTGAACTCAGAAAAAGTTCCCCCTCAACTTGACCTGTCCGATATAATTTCACATGAGGAGCTAGTAGATAACATGCACCGACAGCTGGGACGGGAGTCCAAAATTAATGTCACCATGGATTCTCTGGAAACTTCCACAATACCGCTGTCAACAAATGCAGCCAGCTGTGCGGCAACAAAAAACGACAACCAGGCTCTGAATGTAGAACTGGAGACGATTTTAGACTCGTGGAGGGAAGCGCTCTACAAAGCGATTGTAGAAGAGCTTCATTCTAGGAAGAGCTCAACTGACATTTCGAAAGACATTTTTCAAATTCTACAAGTTTTGGATTTGAAAATTTTGATCGAGCAATTGATCAATATCGCATTTTCAGTTGGAGGCAAAGATAGTTCTGTTCCTTTCCATGAGTTGTATCGAGAAATTGAACAGTATCTGTTTAATAGCTACTACCACCAGTATCTACGGTATTTTCAGTACATTGAAAAAATTGAACAAATTTACCCCCAATATGCTAAAATGTTCTATGATCGAAACGTTGCTACTAAAATGACGGCTAGTGATTTATGGCTCGAACTGCAGAATAAAAATTCAGACTTGGGTCCCGGCGTCCATGCCTTTCCTGAACCTTGGCCCAAAAAAATGTGCCATGATGTCTCGCAGTTTCTTGTTCATTTGATGCTCAAAAAACTTCAGCTTCCGTTCAGCTTTGTGGAGAAGTTTCTAAGCAAGCAAACTGAACAATCGCTTCAAGATGCTGGGTTGTTTTACCTCTCGAGTAAAAATGGTTCCATTGGCTGGACAATGGTACCCTGTTTTTCTTGTCGCTACATCTCAACTATGCCCAAAGGATTCAGTGACAAGAAAAACCTAAATTCAATGCATACGCACATACATCTGTCTCCTCATGAATATTTTGCCAAGTTGGTTCGCAAATTGAATCGCGGAAAAGTTGTGATGTTATCCACTTCAGTTCCTTCGTTGGTACCCCCAGTTCCTTGGGTCAGCCAGAATCACGGCGGCTACCTTTCAAGTCCCGCCATGTTCATGAGAGATAGCAGAGATGACACTTCTCTTGCCAATATGACTGACTTCAAGCGGAAAATTGCGGCGGGCAATTCGGATGTGATGAATTTTCTGGACAGCGTGTTCACGTTTTCGTCGGTTCCTTGGAAAATCAACAAGAATGTTTTAGACGTTGTAATGCATTTGTTTCGCTCAGGTGGAAATTTAGACCTGGAGATTTCACTGTCGGAAGACGAATGCGAGAAGTACTACCTTGAAAACGAACCCTGGGCTGAGGAAGATGATCTTAATCCTTATCTTAAACAGTGCTTAATGAGAAAGGTGATTAGGGAAAACTTTTCTCTACGGATGACGCTTTTGTACCAACTGAGCATTGCAAATTTAGTCAAAGATGAGAAGGCATTTTGGTTGCCCAGCAATATTGACTTCAGAGGACGATGCTACGACATCCCACCTGTTTTCAACCATATTTGTGACGATTGAACCCGCGCCCTGTTCTTGTTTGCTCAGGGGAAACCTCTTGATCCCAAAGGATTAACTTGGCTGAAGCTTCACTTAGCTAATTTGACAGGAGAATGCAAAAAAATGGCGTATGAAGAGCGACTTGGCTTCATCGACGCACATCTGCCTCTAATTCTGGACTCTGCTCGAAATCCTTTGGCCGGATTGAAATGGTGGACAACATTAGATGAACCTTTTCAAGCTCTTGCTGCTTGTTGTGAACTTTCGAAAGCGACCAAGTTAGCTAACCCCGAAGATTTCATATGTCATTTGCCGGTACATCAAGACGGGTGCTGCAACGGGTTGCAACACTATGCAGCATTGGGACGTGACGTAAGCGGTGCCAAAAGCGTGAACGTTTTACCCTCTGAAGTCCCTCAAGATGTGTACGGAGCCGTGTGCGATATTGTGCTGGAGAAGATCCGGAAAGAAAAGCGGGATGACTGTCGGGACATTGCGGAACTGGTAGAGCCATTGGTTAACCGAAAGGTCGTCAAGCAGACTGTGATGACTCAAGTTTATGGCGTCACTTATTATGGAGGCATTTTGCAAATAAGAGCCCGCTTAAAGGAAACCGAAGCCCTTGATTCGAAGGAACTGTCACTGGCGACCTCATATGTTACTAATCTTGTCTTCGCGAGTATTGGAGATCTTTTTGTGTCGACTGGAAAGATCAAAACCTGGCTCAGAGAAATCGCAAATGAAATTGCCAAGGCCGGGTTGCCAGTTCAATGGGTGACTCCTTTAGGCCTGCAAGTCATTCAAAGTTACACCAAGCGTATGTCAAATAAAAACTTCATCAACAGTCCGACGAATAACATGGCGACGTTAAATATAGTTAGAACTCCGGCGGCTGCTAAACACAAGAACGCTTTTCCGCCAAACTACATCCACAGCTTGGACGCAACTCACATGTTGTTGACAGCTCGCTCTTGTTTCAAACAAGGAGTCACTTTTGCCCACGTGCATGATTGTTTTTGGACGCATGCGTGTGATGTTGATGACATGAACAAAATATGTCGCGAAGAGTTTATAAACCTACATAAACTGCCGCTATTAGAGAATTTCGCGGACTTCGTGACTAATAATTTGCTGCCTGTTATAAAAGACGATAGGCGAAAAGACAGACTGACAAAATTATTGAAAAATATTCCCCCAGTGGGTGATTTGGACATGGAAGAGGTGAAGAAGTCCGTTTTCTTCTTCTCCTAGTCAAAATTACTGGTTCTGTATCCTTTAATGAAAATTTAGAGTTATTCGTGTGTTTTTTCTTGTGAGGAAGCTACATTTTAGCATGCAACACTTACACGCCAGTAAGTTTCTTCGGAGACGAGTTTTCAATTGTTGGAAATTTAGCTTTTTCAATTCATTTTTGTTTGGTTACCCTTGCGAATAGCTAGTATTGTAATGGGTTACTTTTTCCCTTAAACAAATTTGCTAACAGAAGGGCGAAAATGAGAAATCGTAAATGTAGATGGTTTCTATGTAAATGTTGAATATATGTATCTGGTTAACTGAACTTGGAAAAGCAAGTTCGAAAATTCACAATCGCCCTCGCAGGCCCTCATTAAAAATGAAAAAAGTGAAGATAGTTCTTTTGACTTTTTTAGTTACTCGGCTAAGTAAATTAATAAATTACATAATTAGTTTACTGGAGATAGAGTTATTTTTTTTTGTTTTACGCTATTCAGGTTTAAAGTTTCAGAATACTAAAGAAAAAACTTACGTTTTGTGTTTTGTTTGTAAATGTTTTAAGGTTGCTGCTAGCATTCGTTCGTGTTTTTTGTGCTTATTTAATGTCGGCTTCATTTCCAAGCACTTATTTTAGGGCTAATGGTTCATTACACTTGCGAAGCAATGTGTTATTGTACGAAATTTCTTTTTTTCCCAACTTAAGTCGCAAATATTGTTGCGGCGACTAAGTCGCAATTTTTGTTGCGACTTAAAACAACAATATTTGCTGCGTCGAATTTGCTGAATCGAATTAATTGGCAATAAGATATTTTGATATATTTTTTGTACCTTTGAAACTTAGTTGCACCTTTACAGCTTATTGATAACATGTGCTTTGACATTCGAATAGTTATAAATTTACACAGTTGATGCATTTTTAATTCATGAAGTGAAACGAAGAAAGCTATTTGTCGCAAACAACATAACAATAATGCAATCTCGATTTCAGAAATTTTCTAGCTTAATATATCTCGCAAGTTTTTGAAATGCATAATTTATACATAATGTGGCTTTATCATTTGCATTTTTTTGCATGCAAAATTGTATCATTTTGTGTTTGATGCTACTTTTGCCGCACCGAATTGGCAATTTATTAGCACATGTAGCTGCATTATTGGTGGCTAGTTCTTGGGGGTTTTAAGCATCCGTGGTTGAATGGTTAGTGCGTGAGACTCAAATTTGCTGGGTCGCAGATTTCGCTAAATCAAGTTTTGCTAAGTCTCGAGTTTTTGCAAATTCGAGGCTTATTTATATTTTTCTTATGTCAATTGATAGAGCTGCTTTTTGGTCGTGTTCTTGCAAGTGCTTGCGAAGCGCAGCTTCGCCTCTGTGTAAAATATTGTTTTCATATTTTGTAGTTTTGGATGCAAGTTCTCGACACTAATTTGAAACAACTTGTTTTGTATTTTTTTGTAAGACTGTGGTCGGAAAGTTCTGTGCTGTTTGCACAGTAACCGGCTATCCTTGCCTTTTTTGATTTTTTGTGGGGTTTTGTCATTTATTTGCTGAATCTATTTTCTCTCAAATAACTAATATGGTGCACTTAAAGGTATTTTGTTGGCCTAGAGTGGATGTTTGCAATACAATTTTTTGTTATCAATTTTCTTTTTTTTTAGTTAACCAGCCAGAGGCAACCCGAAGATGAATTCTTTAAGGATAACTAAGCTATGGCTATGCTACAAGTGCTCAACTTGTAAGTTGCACTGCACACGCGGAACCCGCAATCATTTGATTGTTGGGCACCATCACTAAAGATGCGGCACAACGCCAAATTCTCCATTTTTTGAAATTTTTTGGCTACGAGGTTCCGGTTGAAAATGTTGGCTTAATTTCCCCACATTTTCCATCTATTTCTTTATTCATCTAATTGCAACAAATAGCCTATATTGTAATGATTGTTTTTTGGCTTCGTGATATTTTCCCAACCTTTCGATTTCAATTCGAATCAGATTTGAATTTTTTTCTTTGTTTTCCTGTTGATCATTTTTACATCTTCAGTGGTACGAAGCTCGGCTTCGCTTCTGTGTTTAAGTGGCGTATATCTCTTAATCCTATGGAAAAAGCTTGTTACGTTGGCGAGGCCCTATCACCGGTCAAAATTTCATCATAATCAGGCTTTTTTGAGTGTTCGTAGGTCAATTCTGTTTGTATTTGCAGATAAAATGCCTCCAAGTTTGTCATTATTGAAAACTTCATTCAATTTGAAGCCTTCAATCTTTGATGACTTGAAAGGAGCTCAAAATGATCATAAAACATCAATACTGATCGACGAGTTAGTCCTGAATGAGAAAATTACTGAAGTGGTATCAAAAGACAGCAGAGAGCATCCGTGGGCGAATTCCAACGAAGACTCTTCGAAGAAAAGTTCGTCTCTCAGAAAAGGACCTGTTGGGTTTATGGTTCTCAGTGTGCGAAATACAGCGGCACCAAAAGTAAGTCCAGAAAACAATTTCGCCCCGCGAATGCTGAAAGTTTCGGTGAGTGATGGGTATCACACATATCACTTAATTGAAGTCGAACCGATAAAATTATTAAGCGTCGATACAGCTCCAGGAACGAAAATTATTTTAACAGGGGACTTGACTGTTCGAAATAATTTGGTTCTTATAAAAGCGGCTAATGTCCAATTTGTCGGAGGTCGGGTTGAGGAGATGTATGAAAAGTGGGTTGTCACCAAAGATTTCAACACGAAAGCGATTCGTGATACTGGTGCGCCAAAATTTGTGCCTTTTGGACGTGCAATTGATAATGTGAAAATAGACAAACAGGGAAAAGGCGATACGAAAGAGGAAGAAAGTGCTGAGAAAACTGAAACCGATGCCAAATTTGGGGCGGTTCGTGATCAAAATTTAGAGGCTGTAAAACAACTTAAAACTGAGCAGAAAGGTCTAACTAGTGGAGCTACAGCTCAATTGCCTTCGAGTGATTTTTTCCATTCCAAGAAAAAAGAGCCTCAAAATGGTGCTACTAGCAGTGGTACTACAGTAACAATGGGAAATACACCAGCACCGGATCCCTTTGCCGACGATCCATTTGGAGGACCTCGCGGTGGTAGGGGTGGCCGAGGAGGTCGGCGCGGACGAAAAGGTTCTGATGCCGAGTATGACGAAGGACCTGACGACGCGAAGTTTAAAGCGCCGTCTCAACAGGCGTCGCTTTTTGACATCATTCAAAACAAAATTGACGACATGACAGTCCAGGACATTGAGTTTTCGGATCCGAATCCGCGACCGATGGCACCTGTATCGACACGACTCGGACCAAGCTCGGTTCGTAATGGAGATACTCGTTCGGGAACTTACGAAAGAGGCGGACAACGAGCAGGAAGAGGATACAGAAATGAACGAAATTTTAACGAGGGAAGTTACGGAGGTGACCGGGGACCAAACGGCCAACGGGTTTCGCAACGAGGCCGTGGGCGAGGTAATTTTGAAGATCAAAGGACCAGAGGCGATAGAAACTCAAACAACGGTTACGATCGGAACAACAATCAGGGTGGCCAGAATATACAAAGAAATCAATATCAACACGTCGACGGGTTAGTCGAATTGATTATTTTTATTCGGTTGTTTTAAATACTTAAACGCTGTCTCTCTTGATGCAGAGAGATTAATTTAAAAAGAGTAGTCGGTTGCTGCTCAAGTACCACAGAATATTCTGACCACCTTTTTAACCTTAGTTTTTTTTCTCAAGGTGAATTTTTTGATCCACAGATTATAATATGCTTATAAGTAACTTAATCAACTATTTATATCTTATATTTATCTTATATCTGTGAATTTCGTCTTTTTATTGTTCCGACCATTGAAACTGGGGAGGAACTTTGCATTCGGGTGTGTTTTAGTTTTTTTGTTTTCCTAGAAAAATCAGGTACCACAAATAATGATCGGATTGGGTTGAATGATATATAATTTTAAAGCCATTACGTTTGTAATTCGAACCGCATTAAAGAAATATTTCCCAGTGTCGAGAAAAAGCGGTTTGAAATTTTTGATTTTTCGTCATATTTTGAGCGAATGATCAGGCATACAACAGCTTAATTAGGTCAAATTTAAGCCCTAAAAACTTAATTTTAAGCTTATAGAGTTTTAAGCTCCATTTTGTGAATCAATAACTTCAAAAAAAAAGATTTTTTTGTTTTTCTAGTCAATTTTCTAAGAAAAAAATAACGTCTAATTTGCCTATATTACTATGAATTTCAAATATGCCTAAAATAAAGTTTTACATCAGACTTTTTTTTATCACCCTACGCTCAAGAAACTTCACTAATATGAAAAAAAGCTTTTTCTCGTAGTTATTCGAAGTCTACAGTCGGAACATTCTGTGCTTCTTGCACAGTAACCGGCTATCCTTGTTTAAAACCGTGCTTAGAACGAAAAGACGAAGAGATTTAAATTTACAATCAAGTTAACTTCGGTACAAAATTTTCACGTGAATTGAACAATTCTGGTCTTTCAATGCCTTTCTTGGGAACTTCCAAATTTCGTATTGAAAGTATAGAAAACCCTACAAACATTTTTTAATCTTTTTTTTTTGAAAAATATGGATAATTGAATTTTTATTTGAAAGTTTTCCAGATTTGAAAAAGATGATCAATGAGCAGGTTCAAGCTTCAATTCTTAATTTTTTTAAAGCAACACTCAAAAAGTACTCGTATGAAACACTGCTGACGCCTGAGTTTTGCAAGCGTTATCAAATCGGAACATTGATATTTTACTTTTCAGTGAAACGTATCTAATCGCTTATTACCGAATCATTCTTATTCGTAACTCAATTAGTTTTCGAACCAAGCTATCAATGGTTCAGTTATTCGGTTAAAGATGTTACCGGTGGACATTACAATGTGCAGCGATGGATAATATCTGCGGGCTACACATTCCGCATTAGACCAAGAACTCATATTGATTACGAAATAGCAAATTCCTTCAATATCAAAAACGCACCTCCAACTTTAGATGGTCCCCTTGTTGTTTTTCATCGAGACGTACAAACGTTTTGCTTCACATAGTTTTTTTTTCAACATTTAATTTTTTTCGAGTTTTCTTATGTTTGAGTTGCATCGCAAGTGGGGCGAAGTTCTGCTTCGCCTCTGTGTAACATTAAATTAAACTAGTTCGAACAGTTTTGATGGCTCGTTCTTTTATCACTCGGACTTCTACTGTTTCACAAATTAACAATTAATAGAACGCTAATTTTTCAATTCTAATTCTGGTAATAGCCGCATGCTGAGCGGCACGCATGCAAGTAGGCTGGTCCCCGTTTGAAACGTATGATCCAGTAAGGCGGGATCGAGCATATTTGAGAGCAGTAATGGAGCGGGATAGCGTAGTATGGGGCACGCTCTTCATAACCATTAGCTCCGGAGCTCGAATCTAGCAGTCGCCATAAGATTGTTTAAATGACCTAATTCTTTTCAATAGGAAGTTTCATATTTTTGGGCATTTATAGAGCTATTTTTTGCCTTTTTTCGCATTACGAGGCCAAACTGTGCATTTTGTGAATTGTAAGCGGATTCCGCAACAAGGACGCGCCATTTGTTCTTCTTTTGTTCATTCATTTCCTTTGATCGTTCCAACCAAATTTAACATGTTTAAAGACTTGTCACTGGAATCCAGGAACATACAGACACAAAATTGTGCGCCTATCCAGTGCACAGTTTGGCCTCGTAATGCGCCTCTTGGTAAGAACTTTATCGCAGTCTTGACTTATTTGCGCTTATGAGGTATGTTCTGCCAGTGAAGCGCTTAAGCTATATTTTGTATCAAGTCGTCTGCTGAAACTTTGCTCCAGCTGGTAAGAGTCAGTTATGCTCAAGCTTATAATTTTAGCCATGCCAGCTTTGATGGAAAGATTTTTTGGCTAAGCGATACGGATAGTTTTAAATCATTTTAGTATTTTCAGGTTGATGGGTTTTGTTTTTGAGAGCCGACTTCTGTTGTAGTTAGAACTGCTGCCAATGATTCGTGCCTACCTGGGCTTACGAAGCTCGTCTGAATTTTCGATCCAAAATGGGCACCTTCTCCGCAATTTTCCTCTGACTAGCAGGAGAACCATTCAAAGACGCTTAAAACACGATGATGATGACCCTAAACTGAACATCAAATCCAGAGGAAACAAGAGTCAAAAGGTCAGCGCTGGCATCCGCTCGGTGAAAGAAAACAAATCTGAAGATTTAAAGCTAAGTTTTTATGACAAGAATCGGGTATTGGATGTGTACATGAAAAAATTAGTTTTAGTGACAACGAACCGAGTTACTTCTCGCAAAAATGAAGAGCTCAACGAAAGCCAGAAGGTCGAGAAATCGAGACGATCCAAAAAACTGAATAAAACAAAGGATGGTGATCTTGCGTCAAGCAATAAGAAGAGAAAAGATGCTACAGTGTTTGTCCAACAGGAAGATATGGAAAAGGCTAAGATCTCCATCAATGAAGCTCAGAAAAGGTTGAAAAGATTGCCGCCGTTTGACGAGAAAATTCTGAATGAAGCACGAGACATTCTAAACGAGACGGCTTTTTCAAGCCACCAAAGGAAAACTTACAGTTATTGCTCGGGGCTGGTTAAAAAAACTGAAAATATTTTCAAGAAAGCTCAAATTGGTTTGCAAACGTGTGCCATGACAAACATGTTACCTCTAGCATTGCCGAGTATTCAGAAAGCTTTAAGTACCCTGGGAAATACTAAGAAGAAGATTAAAAGCATCGATCCGACGTTTGACTTGTCATATTTCGATTCTCCGAACTTCCATCACGTCATCACTCAGTTCATCCGGGCCGTGACGCGAGGTGACCCTAGACGCGCGTATGCTGACTGGGCTGTTAAAATGATGTACACCTCGGAATTCAAACCCACGACTGATTTGCTAATGGCTGTTTTGATTTTGCTCGACAAAATTGGGGAACCGCCAAACCATGTGATAGTGAAAGTGACGCTTGAAAAGTTTGTCAAAGTAGTTTCGGAGGCTGACGCCATAACGCTGCACGAAATCAGTGCGTTTAGCAAAAATGACTTGAAATTATTTTTCGGTCAAATTGTGCCTCGGCTGCAAGAGATTTACGAGAAAAGTGGCGAGATTGTTTTTGACGAGAAGTTCACGAGCAAGTTGCCTACTGATGATAAATTGGGCTCTTTGTTCAGTGCTGACCAAGTTTTGTACAGCATGCTGCCAAGTGACGATAGGTGCATCCCGTTGAACTCAGAAAAAGTTCCCCCTCAACTTGACCTGTCCGATATAATTTCACATGAGGAGCTAGTAGATAACATGCACCGACAGCTGGGACGGGAGTCCAAAATTAATGTCACCATGGATTCTCTGGAAACTTCCACAATACCGCTGTCAACAAATGCAGCCAGCTGTGCGGCAACAAAAAACGACAACCAGGCTCTGAATGTAGAACTGGAGACGATTTTAGACTCGTGGAGGGAAGCGCTCTACAAAGCGATTGTAGAAGAGCTTCATTCTAGGAAGAGCTCAACTGACATTTCGAAAGACATTTTTCAAATTCTACAAGTTTTGGATTTGAAAATTTTGATCGAGCAATTGATCAATATCGCATTTTCAGTTGGAGGCAAAGATAGTTCTGTTCCTTTCCATGAGTTGTATCGAGAAATTGAACAGTATCTGTTTAATAGCTACTACCACCAGTATCTACGGTCTTTTCAGTACATTGAAAAAATTGAACAAATTTACCCCCAATATGCTAAAATGTTCTATGATCGAAACGTTGCTACTAAAATGACGGCTAGTGATTTATGGCTCGAACTGCAGAATAAAAATTCAGACTTGGGTCCCGGCGTCCATGCCTTTCCTGAACCTTGGCCCAAAAAAATGTGCCATGATGTCTCGCAGTTTCTTGTTCATTTGATGCTCAAAAAACTTCAGCTTCCGTTCAGCTTTGTGGAGAAGTTTCTAAGCAAGCAAACTGAACAATCGCTTCAAGATGCTGGGTTGTTTTACCTCTCGAGTAAAAATGGTTCCATTGGCTGGACAATGGTACCCTGTTTTTCTTGTCGCTACATCTCAACTATGCCCAAAGGATTCAGTGACAAGAAAAACCTAAATTCAATGCATACGCACATACATCTGTCTCCTCATGAATATTTTGCCAAGTTGGTTCGCAAATTGAATCGCGGAAAAGTTGTGATGTTATCCACTTCAGTTCCTTCGTTGGTACCCCCAGTTCCTTGGGTCAGCCAGAATCACGGCGGCTACCTTTCAAGTCCCGCCATGTTCATGAGAGATAGCAGAGATGACACTTCTCTTGCCAATATGACTGACTTCAAGCGGAAAATTGCGGCGGGCAATTCGGATGTGATGAATTTTCTGGACAGCGTGTTCACGTTTTCGTCGGTTCCTTGGAAAATCAACAAGAATGTTTTAGACGTTGTAATGCATTTGTTTCGCTCAGGTGGAAATTTAGACCTGGAGATTTCACTGTCGGAAGACGAATGCGAGAAGTACTACCTTGAAAACGAACCCTGGGCTGAGGAAGATGATCTTAATCCTTATCTTAAACAGTGCTTAATGAGAAAGGTGATTAGGGAAAATTTTTCTCTACGGATGACGCTTTTGTACCAACTGAGCATTGCAAATTTAGTCAAAGATGAGAAGGCATTTTGGTTGCCCAGCAATATTGACTTCAGAGGACGATGCTACGACATCCCACCTGTTTTCAACCATATTTGTGACGATTGAACCCGCGCCCTGTTCTTGTTTGCTCAGGGGAAACCTCTTGGTTCCAAAGGATTAACTTGGCTGAAGCTTCACTTAGCTAATTTGACAGGAGAATGCAAAAAAATGGCGTATGAAGAGCGACTTGGCTTCATCGACGCACATCTGCCTCTAATTCTGGACTCTGCTCGAAATCCTTTGGCCGGATTGAAATGGTGGACAACATTAGATGAACCTTTTCAAGCTCTTGCTGCTTGTTGTGAACTTTCGAAAGCGACCAAGTTAGCTAACCCCGAAGATTTCATCTGTCATTTGCCGGTACATCAAGACGGGTGCTGCAACGGGTTGCAACACTATGCAGCATTGGGACGTGACGTAAGCGGTGCCAAAAGCGTGAACGTTTTACCCTCTGAAGTCCCTCAAGATGTGTACGGAGCCGTGTGCGATATTGTGCTGGAGAAGATCCGGAAAGAAAAGCGGGATGACTGTCGGGACATTGCGGAACTGGTAGAGCCATTGGTTAACCGAAAGGTCGTCAAGCAGACTGTGATGACTCAAGTTTATGGCGTCACTTATTATGGAGGCATTTTGCAAATAAGAGCCCGCTTAAAGGAAACCGAAGCCCTTGATTCGAAGGAACTGTCACTGGCGACCTCATATGTTACTAATCTTGTCTTCGCGAGTATTGGAGATCTTTTTGTGTCGACTGGAAAGATCAAAACCTGGCTCAGAGAAATCGCAAATGAAATTGCCAAGGCCGGGTTGCCAGTTCAATGGGTGACTCCTTTAGGCCTGCAAGTCATTCAAAGTTACACCAAGCGTATGTCAAATAAAAACTTCATCAACAGTCCGACGAATAACATGGCGACGTTAAATATAGTTAGAACTCCGGCGGCTGCTAAACACAAGAACGCTTTTCCGCCAAACTACATCCACAGCTTGGACGCAACTCACATGTTGTTGACAGCTCGCTCTTGTTTCAAACAAGGAGTCACTTTTGCCCACGTGCATGATTGTTTTTGGACGCATGCGTGTGATGTTGATGACATGAACAAAATATGTCGCGAAGAGTTTATAAACCTACATAAACTGCCGCTATTAGAGAATTTCGCGGACTTCGTGACTAATAATTTGCTGCCTGTTATAAAAGACGATAGGCGAAAAGACAGACTGACAAAATTATTGAAAAATATTCCCCCAGTGGGTGATTTGGACATGGAAGAGGTGAAGAAGTCCGTTTTCTTCTTCTCCTAGTCAAAATTACTGGTTCTGTATCCTTTAATGAAAATTTAGAGTTATTCGTGTGTTTTTTCTTGTGAGGAAGCTACATTTTAGCATGCAACACTTACACGCCAGTAAGTTTCTTCGGAGACGAGTTTTCAATTGTTGGAAATTTAGCTTTTTCAATTCATTTTTGTTTGGTTACCCTTGCGAATAGCTAGTATTGTAATGGGTTACTTTTTCCCTTAAACAAATTTGCTAACAGAAGGGCGAAAATGAGAAATCGTAAATGTAGATGGTTTCTATGTAAATGTTGAATATATGTATCTGGTTAACTGAACTTGGAAAAGCAAGTTCGAAAATTCACAATCGCCCTCGCAGGCCCTCATTAAAAATGAAAAAAGTGAAGATAGTTCTTTTGACTTTTTTAGTTACTCGGCTAAGTAAATTAATAAATTACATAATTAGTTTACTGGAGATAGAGTTATTTTTTTTTGTTTTACGCTATTCAGGTTTAAAGTTTCAGAATACTAAAGAAAAAACTTACGTTTTGTGTTTTGTTTGTAAATGTTTTAAGGTTGCTGCTAGCATTCGTTCGTGTTTTTTGTGCTTATTTAATGTCGGCTTCATTTCCAAGCACTTATTTTAGGGCTAATGGTTCATTACACTTGCGAAGCAATGTGTTATTGTACGAAATTTCTTTTTTTCCCAACTTAAGTCGCAAATATTGTTGCGGCGACTAAGTCGCAATTTTTGTTGCGACTTAAAACAACAATATTTGCTGCGTCGAATTTGCTGAATCGAATTAATTGGCAATAAGATATTTTGATATATTTTTTGTACCTTTGAAACTTAGTTGCACCTTTACAGCTTATTGATAACATGTGCTTTGACATTCGAATAGTTATAAATTTACACAGTTGATGCATTTTTAATTCATGAAGTGAAACGAAGAAAGCTATTTGTCGCAAACAACATAACAATAATGCAATCTCGATTTCAGAAATTTTCTAGCTTAATATATCTCGCAAGTTTTTGAAATGCATAATTTATACATAATGTGGCTTTATCATTTGCATTTTTTTGCATGCAAAATTGTATCATTTTGTGTTTGATGCTACTTTTGCCGCACCGAATTGGCAATTTATTAGCACATGTAGCTGCATTATTGGTGGCTAGTTCTTGGGGGTTTTAAGCATCCGTGGTTGAATGGTTAGTGCGTGAGACTCAAATTTGCTGGGTCGCAGATTTCGCTAAATCAAGTTTTGCTAAGTCTCGAGTTTTTGCAAATTCGAGGCTTATTTATGTTTTTCTTATGTCAATTGATAGAGCTGCTTTTTGGTCGTGTTCTTGCAAGTGCTTGCGAAGCGCAGCTTCGCCTCTGTGTAAAATATTGTTTTCATATTTTGTAGTTTTGGATGCAAGTTCTCGACACTAATTTGAAACAACTTGTTTTGTATTTTTTTGTAAGACTGTGGTCGGAAAGTTCTGTGCTGTTTGCACAGTAACCGGCTATCCTTGCCTTTTTTGATTTTTTGTGGGGTTTTGTCATTTATTTGCTGAATCTATTTTCTCTCAAATAACTAATATGGTGCACTTAAAGGTATTTTGTTGGCCTAGAGTGGATGTTTGCAATACAATTTTTTGTTATCAATTTTCTTTTTTTTTAGTTAACCAGCCAGAGGCAACCCGAAGATGAATTCTTTAAGGATAACTAAGCTATGGCTATGCTACAAGTGCTCAACTTGTAAGTTGCACTGCACACGCGGAACCCGCAATCATTTGATTGTTGGGCACCATCACTAAAGATGCGGCACAACGCCAAATTCTCCATTTTTTGAAATTTTTTGGCTACGAGGTTCCGGTTGAAAATGTTGGCTTAATTTCCCCACATTTTCCATCTATTTCTTTATTCATCTAATTGCAACAAATAGCCTATATTGTAATGATTGTTTTTTGGCTTCGTGATATTTTCCCAACCTTTCGATTTCAATTCGAATCAGATTTGAATTTTTTTCTTTGTTTTCCTGTTGATCATTTTTACATCTTCAGTGGTACGAAGCTCGGCTTCGCTTCTGTGTTTAAGTGGCGTATATCTCTTAATCCTATGGAAAAAGCTTGTTACGTTGGCGAGGCCCTATCACCGGTCAAAATTTCATCATAATCAGGCTTTTTTGAGTGTTCGTAGGTCAATTCTGTTTGTATTTGCAGATAAAATGCCTCCAAGTTTGTCATTATTGAAAACTTCATTCAATTTGAAGCCTTCAATCTTTGATGACTTGAAAGGAGCTCAAAATGATCATAAAACATCAATACTGATCGACGAGTTAGTCCTGAATGAGAAAATTACTGAAGTGGTATCAAAAGACAGCAGAGAGCATCCGTGGGCGAATTCCAACGAAGACTCTTCGAAGAAAAGTTCGTCTCTCAGAAAAGGACCTGTTGGGTTTATGGTTCTCAGTGTGCGAAATACAGCGGCACCAAAAGTAAGTCCAGAAAACAATTTCGCCCCGCGAATGCTGAAAGTTTCGGTGAGTGATGGGTATCACACATATCACTTAATTGAAGTCGAACCGATAAAATTATTAAGCGTCGATACAGCTCCAGGAACGAAAATTATTTTAACAGGTGACTTGACTGTTCGAAATAATTTGGTTCTTATAAAAGCGGCTAATGTCCAATTTGTCGGAGGTCGGGTTGAGGAGATGTATGAAAAGTGGGTTGTCACCAAAGATTTCAACACGAAAGCGATTCGTGATACTGGTGCGCCAAAATTTGTGCCTTTTGGACGTGCAATTGATAATGTGAAAATAGACAAACAGGGAAAAGGCGATACGAAAGAGGAAGAAAGTGCTGAGAAAACTGAAACCGATGCCAAATTTGGGGCGGTTCGTGATCAAAATTTAGAGGCTGTAAAACAACTTAAAACTGAGCAGAAAGGTCTAACTAGTGGAGCTACAGCTCAATTGCCTTCGAGTGATTTTTTCCATTCCAAGAAAAAAGAGCCTCAAAATGGTGCTACTAGCAGTGGTACTACAGTAACAATGGGAAATACACCAGCACCGGATCCCTTTGCCGACGATCCATTTGGAGGACCTCGCGGTGGTAGGGGTGGCCGAGGAGGTCGGCGCGGACGAAAAGGTTCTGAAGCCGAGTATGACGAAGGACCTGACGACGCGAAGTTTAAAGCGCCGTTTCAACAGGCGTCGCTTTTTGACATCATTCAAAACAAAATTGACGACATGACAGTCCAGGACATTGAGTTTTCGGATCCGAATCCGCGACCGATGGCACCTGTATCGACACGACTCGGACCAAGCTCGGTTCGTAATGGAGATACTCGTTCGGGAACTTACGAAAGAGGCGGACAACGAGCAGGAAGAGGATACAGAAATGAACGAAATTTTAACGAGGGAAGTTACGGAGGTGACCGGGGACCAAACGGCCAACGGGTTTCGCAACGAGGCCGTGGGCGAGGTAATTTTGAAGATCAAAGGACCAGAGGCGATAGAAACTCAAACAACGGTTACGATCGGAACAACAATCAGGGTGGCCAGAATATACAAAGAAATCAATATCAACACGTCGACGGGTTAGTCGAATTGATTATTTTTATTCGGTTGTTTTAAATACTTAAACGCTGTCTCTCTTGATGCAGAGAGATTAATTTAAAAAGAGTAGTCGGTTGCTGCTCAAGTACCACAGAATATTCTGACCACCTTTTTAACCTTAGTTTTTTTTCTCAAGGTGAATTTTTTGATCCACAGATTATAATATGCTTATAAGTAACTTAATCAACTATTTATATCTTATATTTATCTTATATCTGTGAATTTCGTCTTTTTATTGTTCCGACCATTGAAACTGGGGAGGAACTTTGCATTCGGGTGTGTTTTAGTTTTTTTGTTTTCCTAGAAAAATCAGGTACCACAAATAATGATCGGATTGGGTTGAATGATATATAATTTTAAAGCCATTACGTTTGTAATTCGAACCGCATTAAAGAAATATTTCCCAGTGTCGAGAAAAAGCGGTTTGAAATTTTTGATTTTTCGTCATATTTTGAGCGAATGATCAGGCATACAACAGCTTAATTAGGTCAAATTTAAGCCCTAAAAACTTAATTTTAAGCTTATAGAGTTTTAAGCTCCATTTTGTGAATCAATAACTTCAAAAAAAAAGATTTTTTTGTTTTTCTAGTCAATTTTCTAAGAAAAAAATAACGTCTAATTTGCCTATATTACTATGAATTTCAAATATGCCTAAAATAAAGTTTTACATCAGACTTTTTTTTATCACCCTACGCTCAAGAAACTTCACTAATATGAAAAAAAGCTTTTTCTCGTAGTTATTCGAAGTCTACAGTCGGAACATTCTGTGCTTCTTGCACAGTAACCGGCTATCCTTGTTTAAAACCGTGCTTAGAACGAAAAGACGAAGAGATTTAAATTTACAATCAAGTTAACTTCGGTACAAAATTTTCACGTGAATTGAACAATTCTGGTCTTTCAATGCCTTTCTTGGGAACTTCCAAATTTCGTATTGAAAGTATAGAAAACCCTACAAACATTTTTTAATCTTTTTTTTTGAAAAATATGGATAATTGAATTTTTATTTGAAAGTTTTCCAGATTTGAAAAAGATGATCAATGAGCAGGTTCAAGCTTCAATTCTTAATTTTTTTAAAGCAACACTCAAAAAGTACTCGTATGAAACACTGCTGACGCCTGAGTTTTGCAAGCGTTATCAAATCGGAACATTGATATTTTACTTTTCAGTGAAACGTATCTAATCGCTTATTACCGAATCATTCTTATTCGTAACTCAATTAGTTTTCGAACCAAGCTATCAATGGTTCAGTTATTCGGTTAAAAATGTTACCGGTGGACATTACAATGTGCAGCGATGGATAATATCTGCGGGCTACACATTCCGCATTAGACCAAGAACTCATATTGATTACGAAATAGCAAATTCCTTCAATATCAAAAACGCACCTCCAACTTTAGATGGTCCCCTTGTTGTTTTTCATCGAGACGTACAAACGTTTTGCTTCACATAGTTTTTTTTCAACATTTAATTTTTTTCGAGTTTTCTTATGTTTGAGTTGCATCGCAAGTGGGGCGAAGTTCTGCTTCGCCTCTGTGTAACATTAAATTAAACTAGTTCGAACAGTTTTGATGGCTCGTTCTTTTATCACTCGGACTTCTACTGTTTCACAAATTAACAATTAATAGAACGCTAATTTTTCAATTCTAATTCTGGTAATAGCCGCATGCTGAGCGGCACGCATGCAAGTAGGCTGGTCCCCGTTTGAAACGTATGATCCAGTAAGGCGGGATCGAGCATATTTGAGAGCAGTAATGGAGCGGGATAGCGTAGTATGGGGCACGCTCTTCATAACCATTAGCTCCGGAGCTCGAATCTAGCAGTCGCCATAAGATTGTTTAAATGACCTAATTCTTTTCAATAGGAAGTTTCATATTTTTGGGCATTTATAGAGCTATTTTTTGCCTTTTTTTCGCATTACGAGGCCAAACTGTGCATTTTGTGAATTGTAAGCGGATTCCGCAACAAGGACGCGCCATTTGTTCTTCTTTTGTTCATTCATTTCCTTTGATCGTTCCAACCAAATTTAACATGTTTAAAGACTTGTCACTGGAATCCAGGAACATACAGACACAAAATTGTGCGCCTATCCAGTGCACAGTTTGGCCTCGTAATGCGCCTCTTGGTAAGAACTTTATCGCAGTCTTGACTTATTTGCGCTTATGAGGTATGTTCTGCCAGTGAAGCGCTTAAGCTATATTTTGTATCAAGTCGTCTGCTGAAACTTTGCTCCAGCTGGTAAGAGTCAGTTATGCTCAAGCTTATAATTTTAGCCATGCCAGCTTTGATGGAAAGATTTTTTGGCTAAGCGATACGGATAGTTTTAAATCATTTTAGTATTTTCAGGTTGATGGGTTTTGTTTTTGAGAGCCGACTTCTGTTGTAGTTAGAACTGCTGCCAATGATTCGTGCCTACCTGGGCTTACGAAGCTCGTCTGAATTTTCGATCCAAAATGGGCACCTTCTCCGCAATTTTCCTCTGACTAGCAGGAGAACCATTCAAAGACGCTTAAAACACGATGATGATGACCCTAAACTGAACATCAAATCCAGAGGAAACAAGAGTCAAAAGGTCAGCGCTGGCATCCGCTCGGTGAAAGAAAACAAATCTGAAGATTTAAAGCTAAGTTTTTATGACAAGAATCGGGTATTGGATGTGTACATGAAAAAATTAGTTTTAGTGACAACGAACCGAGTTACTTCTCGCAAAAATGAAGAGCTCAACGAAAGCCAGAAGGTCGAGAAATCGAGACGATCCAAAAAACTGAATAAAACAAAGGATGGTGATCTTGCGTCAAGCAATAAGAAGAGAAAAGATGCTACAGTGTTTGTCCAACAGGAAGATATGGAAAAGGCTAAGATCTCCATCAATGAAGCTCAGAAAAGGTTGAAAAGATTGCCGCCGTTTGACGAGAAAATTCTGAATGAAGCACGAGACATTCTAAACGAGACGGCTTTTTCAAGCCACCAAAGGAAAACTTACAGTTATTGCTCGGGGCTGGTTAAAAAAACTGAAAATATTTTCAAGAAAGCTCAAATTGGTTTGCAAACGTGTGCCATGACAAACATGTTACCTCTAGCATTGCCGAGTATTCAGAAAGCTTTAAGTACCCTGGGAAATACTAAGAAGAAGATTAAAAGCATCGATCCGACGTTTGACTTGTCATATTTCGATTCTCCGAACTTCCATCACGTCATCACTCAGTTCATCCGGGCCGTGACGCGAGGTGACCCTAGACGCGCGTATGCTGACTGGGCTGTTAAAATGATGTACACCTCGGAATTCAAACCCACGACTGATTTGCTAATGGCTGTTTTGATTTTGCTCGACAAAATTGGGGAACCGCCAAACCATGTGATAGTGAAAGTGACGCTTGAAAAGTTTGTCAAAGTAGTTTCGGAGGCTGACGCCATAACGCTGCACGAAATCAGTGCGTTTAGCAAAAATGACTTGAAATTATTTTTCGGTCAAATTGTGCCTCGGCTGCAAGAGATTTACGAGAAAAGTGGCGAGATTGTTTTTGACGAGAAGTTCACGAGCAAGTTGCCTACTGATGATAAATTGGGCTCTTTGTTCAGTGCTGACCAAGTTTTGTACAGCATGCTGCCAAGTGACGATAGGTGCATCCCGTTGAACTCAGAAAAAGTTCCCCCTCAACTTGACCTGTCCGATATAATTTCACATGAGGAGCTAGTAGATAACATGCACCGACAGCTGGGACGGGAGTCCAAAATTAATGTCACCATGGATTCTCTGGAAACTTCCACAATACCGCTGTCAACAAATGCAGCCAGCTGTGCGGCAACAAAAAACGACAACCAGGCTCTGAATGTAGAACTGGAGACGATTTTAGACTCGTGGAGGGAAGCGCTCTACAAAGCGATTGTAGAAGAGCTTCATTCTAGGAAGAGCTCAACTGACATTTCGAAAGACATTTTTCAAATTCTACAAGTTTTGGATTTGAAAATTTTGATCGAGCAATTGATCAATATCGCATTTTCAGTTGGAGGCAAAGATAGTTCTGTTCCTTTCCATGAGTTGTATCGAGAAATTGAACAGTATCTGTTTAATAGCTACTACCACCAGTATCTACGGTCTTTTCAGTACATTGAAAAAATTGAACAAATTTACCCCCAATATGCTAAAATGTTCTATGATCGAAACGTTGCTACTAAAATGACGGCTAGTGATTTATGGCTCGAACTGCAGAATAAAAATTCAGACTTGGGTCCCGGCGTCCATGCCTTTCCTGAACCTTGGCCCAAAAAAATGTGCCATGATGTCTCGCAGTTTCTTGTTCATTTGATGCTCAAAAAACTTCAGCTTCCGTTCAGCTTTGTGGAGAAGTTTCTAAGCAAGCAAACTGAACAATCGCTTCAAGATGCTGGGTTGTTTTACCTCTCGAGTAAAAATGGTTCCATTGGCTGGACAATGGTACCCTGTTTTTCTTGTCGCTACATCTCAACTATGCCCAAAGGATTCAGTGACAAGAAAAACCTAAATTCAATGCATACGCACATACATCTGTCTCCTCATGAATATTTTGCCAAGTTGGTTCGCAAATTGAATCGCGGAAAAGTTGTGATGTTATCCACTTCAGTTCCTTCGTTGGTACCCCCAGTTCCTTGGGTCAGCCAGAATCACGGCGGCTACCTTTCAAGTCCCGCCATGTTCATGAGAGATAGCAGAGATGACACTTCTCTTGCCAATATGACTGACTTCAAGCGGAAAATTGCGGCGGGCAATTCGGATGTGATGAATTTTCTGGACAGCGTGTTCACGTTTTCGTCGGTTCCTTGGAAAATCAACAAGAATGTTTTAGACGTTGTAATGCATTTGTTTCGCTCAGGTGGAAATTTAGACCTGGAGATTCCACTGTCGGAAGACGAATGCGAGAAGTACTACCTTGAAAACGAACCCTGGGCTGAGGAAGATGATCTTAATCCTTATCTTAAACAGTGCTTAATGAGAAAGGTGATTAGGGAAAACTTTTCTCTACGGATGACGCTTTTGTACCAACTGAGCATTGCAAATTTAGTCAAAGATGAGAAGGCATTTTGGTTGCCCAGCAATATTGACTTCAGAGGACGATGCTACGACATCCCACCTGTTTTCAACCATATTTGTGACGATCGAACCCGCGCCCTGTTCTTGTTTGCTCAGGGGAAACCTCTTGGTTCCAAAGGATTAACTTGGCTGAAGCTTCACTTAGCTAATTTGACAGGAGAATGCAAAAAAATGGCGTATGAAGAGCGACTTGGCTTCATCGTCGCACATCTGCCTCTAATTCTGGACTCTGCTCGAAATCCTTTGGCCGGATTGAAATGGTGGACAACATTAGATGAACCTTTTCAAGCTCTTGCTGCTTGTTGTGAACTTTCGAAAGCGACCAAGTTAGCTAACCCCGAAGATTTCATATGTCATTTGCCGGTACATCAAGACGGGTGCTGCAACGGGTTGCAACACTATGCAGCATTGGGACGTGACGTAAGCGGTGCCAAAAGCGTGAACGTTTTACCCTCTGAAGTCCCTCAAGATGTGTACGGAGCCGTGTGCGATATTGTGCTGGAGAAGATCCGGAAAGAAAAGCGGGATGACTGTCGGGACATTGCGGAACTGGTAGAGCCATTGGTTAACCGAAAGGTCGTCAAGCAGACTGTGATGACTCAAGTTTATGGCGTCACTTATTATGGAGGCATTTTGCAAATAAGAGCCCGCTTAAAGGAAACCGAAGCCCTTGATTCGAAGGAACTGTCACTGGCGACCTCATATGTTACTAATCTTGTCTTCGCGAGTATTGGAGATCTTTTTGTGTCGACTGGAAAGATCAAAACCTGGCTCAGAGAAATCGCAAATGAAATTGCCAAGGCCGGGTTGCCAGTTCAATGGGTGACTCCTTTAGGCCTGCAAGTCATTCAAAGTTACACCAAGCGTATGTCAAATAAAAACTTCATCAACAGTCCGACGAATAACATGGCGACGTTAAATATAGTTAGAACTCCGGCGGCTGCTAAACACAAGAACGCTTTTCCGCCAAACTACATCCACAGCTTGGACGCAACTCACATGTTGTTGACAGCTCGCTCTTGTTTCAAACAAGGAGTCACTTTTGCCCACGTGCATGATTGTTTTTGGACGCATGCGTGTGATGTTGATGACATGAACAAAATATGTCGCGAAGAGTTTATAAACCTACATAAACTGCCGCTATTAGAGAATTTCGCGGACTTCGTGACTAATAATTTGCTGCCTGTTATAAAAGACGATAGGCGAAAAGACAGACTGACAAAATTATTGAAAAATATTCCCCCAGTGGGTGATTTGGACATGGAAGAGGTGAAGAAGTCCGTTTTCTTCTTCTCCTAGTCAAAATTACTGGTTCTGTATCCTTTAATGAAAATTTAGAGTTATTCGTGTGTTTTTTCTTGTGAGGAAGCTACATTTTAGCATGCAACACTTACACGCCAGTAAGTTTCTTCGGAGACGAGTTTTCAATTGTTGGAAATTTAGCTTTTTCAATTCATTTTTGTTTGGTTACCCTTGCGAATAGCTAGTATTGTAATGGGTTACTTTTTCCCTTAAACAAATTTGCTAACAGAAGGGCGAAAATGAGAAATCGTAAATGTAGATGGTTTCTATGTAAATGTTGAATATATGTATCTGGTTAACTGAACTTGGAAAAGCAAGTTCGAAAATTCACAATCGCCCTCGCAGGCCCTCATTAAAAATGAAAAAAGTGAAGATAGTTCTTTTGACTTTTTTAGTTACTCGGCTAAGTAAATTAATAAATTACATAATTAGTTTACTGGAGATAGAGTTATTTTTTTTTGTTTTACGCTATTCAGGTTTAAAGTTTCAGAATACTAAAGAAAAAACTTACGTTTTGTGTTTTGTTTGTAAATGTTTTAAGGTTGCTGCTAGCATTCGTTCGTGTTTTTTGTGCTTATTTAATGTCGGCTTCATTTCCAAGCACTTATTTTAGGGCTAATGGTTCATTACACTTGCGAAGCAATGTGTTATTGTACGAAATTTCTTTTTTTCCCAACTTAAGTCGCAAATATTGTTGCGGCGACTAAGTCGCAATTTTTGTTGCGACTTAAAACAACAATATTTGCTGCGTCGAATTTGCTGAATCGAATTAATTGGCAATAAGATATTTTGATATATTTTTTGTACCTTTGAAACTTAGTTGCACCTTTACAGCTTATTGATAACATGTGCTTTGACATTCGAATAGTTATAAATTTACACAGTTGATGCATTTTTAATTCATGAAGTGAAACGAAGAAAGCTATTTGTCGCAAACAACATAACAATAATGCAATCTCGATTTCAGAAATTTTCTAGCTTAATATATCTCGCAAGTTTTTGAAATGCATAATTTATACATAATGTGGCTTTATCATTTGCATTTTTTTGCATGCAAAATTGTATCATTTTGTGTTTGATGCTACTTTTGCCGCACCGAATTGGCAATTTATTAGCACATGTAGCTGCATTATTGGTGGCTAGTTCTTGGGGGTTTTAAGCATCCGTGGTTGAATGGTTAGTGCGTGAGACTCAAATTTGCTGGGTCGCAGATTTCGCTAAATCAAGTTTTGCTAAGTCTCGAGTTTTTGCAAATTCGAGGCTTATTTATATTTTTCTTATGTCAATTGATAGAGCTGCTTTTTGGTCGTGTTCTTGCAAGTGCTTGCGAAGCGCAGCTTCGCCTCTGTGTAAAATATTGTTTTTCATATTTTGTAGTTTTGGATGCAAGTTCTCGACACTAATTTGAAACAACTTGTTTTGTATTTTTTTGTAAGACTGTGGTCGGAAAGTTCTGTGCTGTTTGCACAGTAACCGGCTATCCTTGCCTTTTTTGATTTTTTGTGGGGTTTTGTCATTTAATTGCTGAATCTATTTTCTCTCAAATAACTAATATGGTGCACTTAAAGGTATTTTGTTGGCCTAGAGTGGATGTTTGCAATACAATTTTTTGTTATCAATTTTCTTTTTTTTTAGTTAACCAGCCAGAGGCAACCCGAAGATGAATTCTTTAAGGATAACTAAGCTATGGCTATGCTACAAGTGCTCAACTTGTAAGTTGCACTGCACACGCGGAACCCGCAATCATTTGATTGTTGGGCACCATCACTAAAGATGCGGCACAACGCCAAATTCTCCATTTTTTGAAATTTTTTGGCTACGAGGTTCCGGTTGAAAATGTTGGCTTAATTTCCCCACATTTTCCATCTATTTCTTTATTCATCTAATTGCAACAAATAGCCTATATTGTAATGATTGTTTTTTGGCTTCGTGATATTTTCCCAACCTTTCGATTTCAATTCGAATCAGATTTGAATTTTTTTCTTTGTTTTCCTGTTGATCATTTTTACATCTTCAGTGGTACGAAGCTCGGCTTCGCTTCTGTGTTTAAGTGGCGTATATCTCTTAATCCTATGGAAAAAGCTTGTTACGTTGGCGAGGCCCTATCACCGGTCAAAATTTCATCATAATCAGGCTTTTTTGAGTGTTCGTAGGTCAATTCTGTTTGTATTTGCAGATAAAATGCCTCCAAGTTTGTCATTATTGAAAACTTCATTCAATTTGAAGCCTTCAATCTTTGATGACTTGAAAGGAGCTCAAAATGATCATAAAACATCAATACTGATCGACGAGTTAGTCCTGAATGAGAAAATTACTGAAGTGGTATCAAAAGACAGCAGAGAGCATCCGTGGGCGAATTCCAACGAAGACTCTTCGAAGAAAAGTTCGTCTCTCAGAAAAGGACCTGTTGGGTTTATGGTTCTCAGTGTGCGAAATACAGCGGCACCAAAAGTAAGTCCAGAAAACAATTTCGCCCCGCGAATGCTGAAAGTTTCGGTGAGTGATGGGTATCACACATATCACTTAATTGAAGTCGAACCGATAAAATTATTAAGCGTCGATACAGCTCCAGGAACGAAAATTATTTTAACAGGGGACTTGACTGTTCGAAATAATTTGGTTCTTATAAAAGCGGCTAATGTCCAATTTGTCGGAGGTCGGGTTGAGGAGATGTATGAAAAGTGGGTTGTCACCAAAGATTTCAACACGAAAGCGATTCGTGATACTGGTGCGCCAAAATTTGTGCCTTTTGGACGTGCAATTGATAATGTGAAAATAGACAAACAGGGAAAAGGCGATACGAAAGAGGAAGAAAGTGCTGAGAAAACTGAAACCGATGCCAAATTTGGGGCGGTTCGTGATCAAAATTTAGAGGCTGTAAAACAACTTAAAACTGAGCAGAAAGGTCTAACTAGTGGAGCTACAGCTCAATTGCCTTCGAGTGATTTTTTCCATTCCAAGAAAAAAGAGCCTCAAAATGGTGCTACTAGCAGTGGTACTACAGTAACAATGGGAAATACACCAGCACCGGATCCCTTTGCCGACGATCCATTTGGAGGACCTCGCGGTGGTAGGGGTGGCCGAGGAGGTCGGCGCGGACGAAAAGGTTCTGATGCCGAGTATGACGAAGGACCTGACGACGCGAAGTTTAAAGCGCCGTCTCAACAGGCGTCGCTTTTTGACATCATTCAAAACAAAATTGACGACATGACAGTCCAGGACATTGAGTTTTCGGATCCGAATCCGCGACCGATGGCACCTGTATCGACACGACTCGGACCAAGCTCGGTTCGTAATGGAGATACTCGTTCGGGAACTTACGAAAGAGGCGGACAACGAGCAGGAAGAGGATACAGAAATGAACGAAGTTTTAACGAGGGAAGTTACGGAGGTGACCGGGGACGAAACGGCCAACGGGTTTCGCAACGAGGCCGTGGGCGAGGTAATTTTGAAGATCAAAGGACCAGAGGCGATAGAAACTCAAACAACGGTTACGATCGGAACAACAATCAGGGTGGCCAGAATATACAAAGAAATCAATATCAACACGTCGACGGGTTAGTCGAATTGATTATTTTTATTCGGTTGTTTTAAATACTTAAACGCTGTCTCTCTTGATGCAGAGAGATTAATTTAAAAAGAGTAGTCGGTTGCTGCTCAAGTACCACAGAATATTCTGACCACCTTTTTAACCTTAGTTTTTTTTCTCAAGGTGAATTTTTTGATCCACAGATTATAATATGCTTATAAGTAACTTAATCAACTATTTATATCTTATATTTATCTTATATCTGTGAATTTCGTCTTTTTATTGTTCCGACCATTGAAACTGGGGAGGAACTTTGCATTCGGGTGTGTTTTAGTTTTTTTGTTTTCCTAGAAAAATCAGGTACCACAAATAATGATCGGATTGGGTTGAATGATATATAATTTTAAAGCCATTACGTTTGTAATTCGAACCGCATTAAAGAAATATTTCCCAGTGTCGAGAAAAAGCGGTTTGAAATTTTTGATTTTTCGTCATATTTTGAGCGAATGATCAGGCATACAACAGCTTAATTAGGTCAAATTTAAGCCCTAAAAACTTAATTTTAAGCTTATAGAGTTTTAAGCTCCATTTTGTGAATCAATAACTTCAAAAGAAAAGATTTTTTTGTTTTTCTAGTCAATTTTCTAAGAAAAAAATAACGTCTAATTTGCCTATATTACTATGAATTTCAAATATGCCTAAAATAAAGTTTTACATCAGACTTTTTTTTATCACCCTACGCTCAAGAAACTTCACTAATATGAAAAAAAGCTTTTTCTCGTAGTTATTCGAAGTCTACAGTCGGAACATTCTGTGCTTCTTGCACAGTAACCGGCTATCCTTGTTTAAAACCGTGCTTAGAACGAAAAGACGAAGAGATTTAAATTTACAATCAAGTTAACTTCGGTACAAAATTTTCACGTGAATTGAACAATTCTGGTCTTTCAATGCCTTTCTTGGGAACTTCCAAATTTCGTATTGAAAGTATAGAAAGCCCTACAAACATTTTTTAATCTTTTTTTTTGAAAAATATGGATAATTGAATTTTCATTTGAAAGTTTTCCAGATTTGAAAAAGATGATCAATGAGCAGGTTCAAGCTTCAATTCTTAATTTTTTTAAAGCAACACTCAAAAAGTACTCGTATGAAACACTGCTGACGCCTGAGTTTTGCAAGCGTTATCAAATCGGAACATTGATATTTTACTTTTCAGTGAAACGTATCTAATCGCTTATTACCGAATCATTCTTATTCGTAACTCAATTAGTTTTCGAACCAAGCTATCAATGGTTCAGTTATTCGGTTAAAAATGTTACCGGTGGACATTACAATGTGCAGCGATGGATAATATCTGCGGGCTACACATTCCGCATTAGACCAAGAACTCATATTGATTACGAAATAGCAAATTCCTTCAATATCAAAAACGCACCTCCAACTTTAGATGGTCCCCTTGTTGTTTTTCATCGAGACGTACAAACGTTTTGCTTCACATAGTTTTTTTTCAACATTTAATTTTTTTCGAGTTTT